AAGAAGCAAAGAGAGAGAAAAGGAGAGAGCTCTTTCATTTAACTCTTTCACTCCCCAGATGGCTGCAACAGCTAGGGCTAGGCCAGGTCAAAGTCAGAAGCTGGGAGTGTCATCAGGCTTTCACAAGTGTTTCAGCAGGAGTGGCTGGGAAGTGGAATAGCTCAGACACTCACACCACAGGCAGTTGGCTTAACCTGACTACCTCACAGCACTCTTTGTTTGTTTTTATTTCTTAATGTTTTTCTCTGGCCATTAGCAGGAAGCTGGACTGGAAGTGGAGCAACCCAGACTCGAACTGACGCCCGTGTGGGATGCCTGTGCTGCAGGCTGTGGTTTAGTCCGATGTGCCACCGTGCTGCCCTCCATCCCCATTTTGTCTTTGTAGTAATGCTGAAGATAAATAAATAAAATGTAAAATCTGCCAACTGTATGCCTGGGTGCAGAGGCCAGGAGGTGCTGTTGTGTTGCAGTGTGAGAATGCTCTTGAAGGGGATCCCCTTCAAGTGGGCAACAACCATCTGCTTCTGTAGTTTAGCCACCTAAAAGAAACCCCCAGTCCCAACTTTGAACCCAGTTTGTGTTATTAAGTGTTTCCATTTCTGATTGAGTTAATAACATATAAATGTGATGAGAGTAGCTGAATGAAACATATCTTACCTTGTTGATCCAGTTTCTCTGTTGAACTCAGATTTGGGGAAGATGGGGGAAGGAGGAGAAGGATAGAACAGATTCTACGAGCATTTACGACAGAACTTAATAGTTAAAAAACTGTCTGTTGGCCTATTTCCCGCATGATTTCTACCAGTGTCCAGCCATTCTGTATGGCCAGATAATTTATAGAACTCTGATCATTGGACCTGAATGAACATCCTGTTTTATTGCTCTGGAACAAGTCCAGTCTTCTATGTGAATTCCAGGCTAGTCAGAGAGGCCTGAGCCCAGAACAGAGTGCATTATGACTCTCCCAAGCACTCTCTCCAAGCTTTATTAGCCTTTGGACATTGCCAGACAGATTAGTGCCATAGGCATTCTGAAGAGGTGGCAGACCTGGTTTGGGCTCAGGATGAAACCTGTTCCTGCATGGGAAGTTCTCACTCATTGGCATCATTTCTTACTATAACTGGTCTTGGGAAAACAAGTTAACAGGACCTGGCCTTGTGGTGTTGTGGGTAAAGCCACTGTCTGCGATGCCAGTGTCTCATATATCTAGGTGCTGGTTCACGTCCCAGCTGCTCTACTTCTGCTCCAGCTCCCTGTTCATGGCCTGAGAAGTGTAACTAAGGGTGGCCAAAGTGTTTGGACCCCTGCCACCCATGTGGGTGACCCAGGTTAAGCTCCTCGGTCCTGGCTTCAGTCTGATGCATTCCTGCTCACTGTAGCCATCTGGGGAGTAAACACCTGAATGGAAGATTTGTCTCTTCCTCTCTCTCTAATCCTGACTTTCAAATAAACAACCAAATCTTTGGGAAGAAGGAAAAAAAATCCAACAAACCTGTGATGGCCACTTAAGTTAGATGCTGTAAGACTGAATTTGTTATATATTCAAAAGTAGTATATGCGTATATGTAAGTATATAAATATACCACAAAGATACGTAAAGAAAACATGTAAATAGTTATATGAGGGAACTTTGGAAAGTACATATTATAGAAAAGCTTCATGCATGCATTTCAAAAACTTTGTTGCAAAATAAACTCATACTAATGCGTTACAACAAGTCTGAATAATATCTGGTTTGAGGCAGTAAGAATTTCCAATCAGAGCAACATGAATTCTGGTAAATTTGAACTACAACTAACATTCTGTTGGTGGAGAAACAAGCTTGAGTGGAAACATGGTGGAATCCTTGCTGCTTTCTAAAAACTTTAGGGGACAATTGCCCAGAGGAGTCTGCAGTTTAAAACTGGATAGCTGGTTTCAAGAAGGAGGGAGAGCCTTAGCCATCCACACCAATTTGCAAAAACAAACAAAACAACTGATCTCGTTCAGGCCGCAATCGAAGAGGGTAGTGACAAGACAGCCAGTCAACACCCATTTGGCTCAGCTTGCCCAGTTCCAACTAACAAATTAAAGTGGAGCCCTCCTGCAGCTGGAAGAGCATCACCACTGTGGTGCCCACGTGTGGTGCCCAGGTGTGCCGCCAGAGCAGAGCGTGGGCCTCCCGGGAGGTCGCAGTTCTCAGCCATTCCTTTGATGAGTCGTAACCAAAGGTGAAACGTGGCTTTACCTGTGATCCTGAAGACAGGTCAGAGCCCAAGCAGTGGTTACCGAGAGGTGAAGAGGTCCCCTGAGACAACTCCGCGTTAGGAGCAAAGGCTGTGGCAAAGCGTTCTTGTGAGATGCTCACGGTGTTTCCTTGTTTGATTTTTTTGGGGGGAGGGCGGGGAATGGTAGCTCTGCTTCATAGTGTTTTGAGGAAGTGAGCCAAAATTGTAGCAGAAAAGTACTCTAAGCTTCACTGTGGCATGGGAGTGGGGTTCTTCACCAGGGCAGAGCTTCTGCTCCTTAGCAAGGAGGGGATTTTGTGAGTTTGGATGGGCAATCGTTGAACAGGCATCCACCTTTCAGCCTTTATTTGGCTCTCTCTGACTTCTTTGTATCTTAGTCTTAACATTTTTCTTCAGTTAATTATGTGGAAACAGCTGCGTGGACTTGGCTAACCAGGAATGGTCAGGAGCTCAGAGATTGGGACTCAAAGGGTGATAACGTAACTTGTAAAATTACTGTGGTCTTGATGGAGCTTGTGCTGAAAAACAACCTCATGTATAAATATGTATATATATTTTCTTTTAGTTTTATTTCATGCACCCTGTGCAGTCATATACATATTTAAAAAATAATTTGAGGAATGAATTTTATTGAAACACAGAGTGACATACAGAGAGATAGAATTCTTCCATCTGTGGGTTCACTCCCCAAATGTCTGCACCACGCTGAAGGCAGGAGTCAGGCACTGTATCCACTTCCCTGAATGGAATAAAGGCATCTAATGAACACAGCACTCACCTGAGAGTCCCTTGATACCAGTTAACCTTACCATACTTGAACACAGACCAAGTGGTCATGGTTGGCTTTAATCATGGCAGGAACGAAAGTCTGGAAGATAGACTGTGTTGATATTTAATTCATTGATAACCTTATTTGTTCTGTATTGTATAAATTCAGTAGTTCTTTGACTAGATACCTATTTAACATTTATGCTGTGGTAAATTTTATGACAGTACAAAAGCAAACATGGTATAGTTACTCTTCCCAAGGAGCTTAGGTTTCATTTTGTTACTCTGGAAGGAACATTATTTGATTTCTTTTGCCTTTGAAGCAAGTAGTACTAATTGGAGCAAATAAAGAATTTTACACTTAAAAGTTGATGAAAAATTTTAATACAACCTTTTCTGGGATGCTGAGCTTGTCCATGTGGTTTTTAGTAGGTTGTATTAAAAATTTAATTGCATTTACAAAAAAAAATTTCATCCACTTCTCCCATGTGAGTGACAGGAGCCCAAGCACTTGAACCATCATCTGCTGTCTTCCCAGGCGCTTTAGCAGGGAGCTGAATCGGAAGTGGAGCAGGCAGGACACAAACTGACGTACTACTCTGTTGATGCTGGCATCACAAAAAGCAACTTAACCTGGCATGCCACAATGCCAACTCCTAAAAAATGCTCACTGAAGGTTTTTGGATATAAGCAATCATATTATTAGCAATGAAATATGACTGTCTTAATATGTAAGCACTGGATTCATGTAGGTGATACATCAGACCTTACTTAAATTAAAAATTCTGTACCAGAAATCCCTAAGATAATAGTGTGTATCCAGTAGCTTTTCTATCTTAACTCTGCATTTGGCCTTTGCATGTGAAAGAAATGACATATTGTTTGTAGTTTTTATCTTGAGCTGTTTCTTAGAAACTCCTGGGGTGGGGCCATGGTGGAGCTAAACAGGTGTTGTTGTTGTTTGTTGCCATGTAACAGCTTAATGCATAGAATCATAACATGGCAAATCTTGCTTCGCCTGAGCAATCAGTTCACCTGTTGATTTCTTTTTACAGAAATGGGCTTTTCCTGCTTCCTGGGGCCTGTGTCACAATTTTTTATTTTGCAGAAGCTATGCTAAGATTGGGCAGCTGGAATTTGTGAATAATTATCGACATCTATATCTATATCTAGAAATATCACATTTTTTAATGGAGAGAAAGATTTCTTTAAAAGTAATAAAAATCTAATACCATATGCTGATTAGAACTACAAGACTACCTGCCTTCAAGTTCACATTGTGTTCATTGGATCTAACAGTATTAGAGGATCTGTGTTGTCATAGCCCCTGTATGTAACTTTAACCATTTAATTGAGGAAAATGGGTTAGAGGAAGGTCATTTGATATTGCTATAGAATATGACAGTGTTCATCCTGGACCCTATTTCAACTTGAAAGTGACATGAATCAACAGATGCAAGTATATGGGGTAAATGTGGGACTGGGTCATTGTCTAAAAGAAGTTTGTTGTAAAGGGTGACGGAGGTTGAAACAAGCCCATCTAAGTTGTAAACGCTACTAAGGTTTTGTGTGGAAAGGCAGAAGGGACGTGGAAGAGACCTTAGGTACAAATGCTAAGAGACCCCCAGAGTTTCCTTACAGGTCAAAGACTCTAAGATGATTCCATGTTCTTGCTCTGTCTTCTTTTCTGATTGGTCTCCTTTCTCCCCCAGTGTAGCTTTCATCTTGGGTTTCTTCATGGCACATTTTTGCCCTCAGTTGCACGAAGACACAGCTGTGCAGCTTACAGCTTTGAGAGCTGTTCTCCCATCCCAACCTTTCTACTGCTCAGTGGATTTTTAGTTAAAAATGGTGACTGTCTTTCAAGCTCAACATGGAGGACCTCCTGAGTCACGGATAGGTTTAAGGACTGGGTGAAAAAAAAAATAGTGGGTGATTTTGTGTCATGTGTTTATTTGCAGGGTGTGGGGACCAACTGATGAACGTTTTTCATTAAGAGAAAAGATGTTGTCTCCAAGTGAGAAAAAGCTAGAAAAACTGGATCCGTTTTATAGACCCTCGGCATCCAAACTGAAGACCAGTGCGGAAATCATCAGCGAAGCACGAAATGCGCTGAGAACGGTTAAAACACAAAGGCCCTTTACTCCGCAGGAAGACCAGAGAAAGCTGTTCGGACCTGCATCTTCAAGAACGCCCGAGAACAGGCCGCCTTCCACCTTCAGGTATGAGGGTGTTTCACCTCGATGTGTGCTCAGATTCTTAAGCCACCAGTTACAGCTGCTCTTTCCCCAAATGCCCATACCACCAGAAAGAAACCAGGGCCAAAGCCAGGAACTAGGCGCCCACTCCAGGTCCCCGTGGTGAGTGGTGAGAGCCCAGCTACTGGGGCTGTCACCACTGCCTCCCAGGGTCTGCCTGAGCAGGAGGTTGGATTCAGGAGCTGGCAGTAAGCATTGTGACATGCTAGATTCAATGCTTGCCACTGGTTATTGAAGACCATTATTGGCAATAGGCTTGATTTTTTTTTTGACAGCAGGTTCAGGGTCATGGTGACTTTGATAGGAAATTATACTACAGATTTCCATAGACTCCCTCCTCCACACCCCTGCCCCCGCACCACACATGCGTGGTCTCCTCCATTATCAGTACACTCACAGTGGCACATTGGCTATAACTGACACATCATTGTGACTCAGAGTTCAAGTTTTCACCATGGTCCACCTGGGCGTTGTACAGTCTGTGTGTTTGAACAAATATATAATGACAAGACACGGGTAAGTAGTTATGTTACAGTATCTGCTGTTGTGATATAACACAGACCAGTTTTCACTGCCCTCAAAGTCTTCTGCTCAATTTATACTCTATCAACCACATTTATTGCCTCCCTAGTTTTGCCTTTCCTACACTCTTGTATAGTCAGGAATCACAGTGTACATTGCATTTGTAGATTGGCTTCTTTCATTCAATAATATACATTCAAGTTTCTTCAGTGGTTTTTCATGGCCTACTGACTAACTTTTCTTAGTCCCAAATAACATTCCATTGTCCGATGCATCATAACTGATTTCTCCATTCACTTACTGATGGGCATCTTATTTATTTTCAAGTTTGGGCAATTACAGACACAGCTGCTGTAAATACCCAGGTGTAAGTTCCTGTGTGGATCGTTTTCAGCTCCCTTAGATAAAGACCAAGGAGCACAACCACTGGGTCATTGACTCAGAGGATACTGAAAGTCTTATAAGAAACTGACAAACCGTCCTCCAAAGTGGCTGGTACGGGCTTGCGTTCATACTGGCAATGAATGAGGGTGCCTCTCCTTCCTCATCACCACTGGAGCTTCGTGGTGTTGGTGTGCTGGATTTTGACCATTCTAGTCAATGTGCAGTAGTATCTTGGTGTATAATATACTTTTCCCATCTCATCTATGGGACAGAACATCTAATCAAATGCTTAACCCTTTCCCTTTTTCTGACCAGATGTCTGTTAAGTTCTGTTACCCACTTTTTAATCCATTGTTAATGAACTGTATTCTTAATGTTAAATTTTAAGAATTCTTTTATGTGTTTTGTAGAAACAGTCTTTTATTTTACATATCTTTTGCAAGTACTTTCTTTCAGTTTGTGGCTTTTTTTCTTTATTCTCTTTTTTTTCCATGCAGATGTCCAGTTGTCTTGTTGGAAAAGCTAAGATTTTTCAACTTTACCGTGCTGTAGTCAGTGGACGGTAGGGTACTCTTTTGTGATGCTGGGCAGCATCAGGAGGTCACGGTCCTGCAGTCAGGAGGGTAAACAACTCACACGCTGGTGTGTTCTGTTGCTAAGCTAGAATGTTAAGTAAGTTAAGGATGGTAAACGCATTGCTGATCAAACAGTGCTTTCAACCGACGAGGGATCTGTTGGGATGAAACTCCTTTGTTGAATCAAGGAGTACCCAGTATGCCTTTGCTCGTGTGTCAAAGATCAGTTGACTGTGCTGTAGAGTATGTTTCTGGATTCCGTGTTTGGTTGCATTGATCTTTGTTCTTTTGCCAGCACTACACCATCTTGATCCCTGTAGTTTTGTGTGAGGTCGTGGAGTCAGGTTGTAGCAATCTTCTGTTTTCATTCTTCTCATCCATTCTTCCCATTATGTTGACCCCTCTGGGGATTTGACCTCTCTGGGTTTACTGTAGCATCAGTTTGTCAAAAGCCACTACTACTTACTAGGATTTTAATTGGGATTACATGAAATATACAAATCAGACTGAGAAGAACTGACATCTTGTCGGTAGTCCGCCTATCTGTGATTACTTGCGTTGAGTTTTCCGGTAGTTTGTCTTGTACAGATCTTATGTAGGTTTTGTTAAATTTTGCAATAGTATTTCACTTTGAATGGCACCAGTATAAATGGTATTGTAACTTCATTTTAATTTCCATTTGGACATTATTTGTGTACATTTATTAATTCCAAGAAATTTGGGGGTCAAATTTTTAACATACTCTACTTTAGATGTTCATATGATCTTTAAGTAAAGACAGTTGTATTTCTTCTTTCCCCATCTGGATGCATTTTGTCTCCTTTTCTTGCCTTATTGCATTAGCAAGGATCTGCAGGTACAATGTTGAAAAGCAACAATGAGAGGGTGGTTGGAAAGCTTCAAGTTATTCACCATGAAGTGTGATGTGAGGTGAAGGACTTTTCTAGATAACACTTTATCAAACTGAAGAAGTTCCCTTCTGTTCCTGATTTACTTAGAGACTTTTGAATCAAGAATGGGCATAGGATTTTGTCAAGTGCTTTTTCTACCATCTATTGAAATGATCTTGTGATCTTTCTTCTATTGTCTGTTGATTAACTTTTATGATAGCTTGGTTTTTTTTTTTTTCAGTTTGACTCATGTTCAGAATTCCTACAGATGACTGTAGACCTTGGGTTCAGAAATGGTGAATAGTGGATGTTGTATCAGCTTAACAGAGTGATACAAATAAAACTTAAAAAACTCTATATCTCTTCTTATTCATTATTCAATATATTAGTCTTCTTCAAAGTGATAAAAAGAGACTTGCTAATAAAATGTTTTAAGCACCATAGCATTTTAAGAGTACTCTTTCTTCAAGGCATACACATTGGATGCTTTCACTTGCTTTCTAGCTAGCGCTAACTAACTTGTACTGGAAATAAAAGAAACAGTTCTCCACAAACTAATGCTCTGCACCATCTCTTATGCTAGCCTCCATGCGTCCAGTTTTGAGTCATCTGATTCCAGGCCTATCTCTGGCACACGTCTCAGCCCACTAGAGCTGGTGAGTACTTGACATCACCACCAGTATTGTAGAGCTAAATAGATCGCAGGTACTCAGAATCAGCACTTAACAGATGCTGAGAGAATTATCCTGTGAACTTAAATGTACTGCTTAATAGCTAATGAAACACTTCTGTAGTTTGTAATCTTATGATTTTAAAAACAGATGGCAACTTGGTAAGAAGAATATTTCAAGATGTCTTCATTTTCAAAGCAGTTATATGTATAATTTTATTTTTTAGCCCATGTGTAAAAATTTGTGTTCGAACTGTACATGCATGATGCATAGGTGTTATCTATATAAGAGATCAATACAAAGATTTGTCACAAAGCAGCAACAAGGTCTTATGGTCTCCTGTTTCCTTATTTTCTGTCATTCCTTCCTCTGTGGCTTTCACTTGCTCTTTTGCTCATTACATCTGCATTTCCAAAATGCCACAGTCACTGTTGGACTTAAAAGGGTAAGGAATTCTCTAATGATTTCCCACTAAAATGAGGGTTTTTCTTATCCTTGGTGTCACCTTTGCATAATATGTCCATCCTTTCAGTTTCTACTGCTGTCCCCGGAATAGATGCAGAGTGATTTTTGTCAGATGTGTTTTCCATGTGAATGCCAATTCTGTTCATGGCAGAGCCTTGTTAATGTTGATTAATGATGATTGCTTCTTCATCCCTGTACAACCTTTTGTTTCTCCTGGCATTAGTAATTGCCTTGCTTTTTTGGTTTCATGTTACTACTGTTTCAGCCTTAAACTCATCCCCAGGGGTCTGTATCTCTTTGGCTGTTCAGACACAGGCAGTATTCAATCAATTCAGCCACTTTCCCTGGACTCCTCACTGTCATCTTTGGGGAAGCGGCCCTTCCTCCTTGTGCTGTTCCTCCTCGCCTTCCAATTTCCTTTATTTCAAGTTCTTTCCTTATTGATTTCATCGTTTCCATGGGTGGTTATTATCTAGAGTTTCATGAGGAAGTGTTGTGAGAATTAATTGTTTAAAGCACTGCTTCCTATTTATTGATCTCTGGAGGTTTGTAAAATGAGTGCTTTAGTGCTCTAAAATTTCATGATAATGGCTTTTTTGTAATTATGATTTTATCTATTATGCTTATCACTTGAAGGGTCCTTTTTATTTTTATTAAAATTTTTAAAATCATTTATTTGAAAGCATAGCTATACTCATACAAACACACATACACACACAGTGGATGGGGGGAAGGAAAGAGATTGAGAAAGACAGAGAGACATAACTGGTTTACTTCTTAAAAGGCTGTGATGGTTGGACAAAGCTGGTCCAGGCTGAAGCCAGCACACCAAGCTCTATCTAGGTCTGCTAGTAACAGAGGCCCAGGCACTTGGGTTGTCTTCTGTTCCTTTCCCAGGCACATTTGCAGAAAGCTAGATTGGAAGCAGAGCAGCAGGACTCCAATATGAAATGCCATTGTGGCAGGTGGTGGCTTAACTTTGTACCACAGCACCTGCCCCAGAAGGGCCCTTTATGCTTTCATACTTTCCAACTCTTGGAATTATTATTTTGCTACTTTGATGATATCGTCTTCACTTTTTTTTAAAGATTTATTTATTTTTATTGAAAAGTCAGATATACAGAGGAGGAGAGAGAGAGGAAGATCTTGCGTCCGATGATTCACTCCCCAAGTGACCTCAACAGCTGGCGCTGCACCAATCCAAAGCCAGGAGCCAGAAGCTTCTTCCAGGTCTCCCACATGGGTGCAGGGTCCCAAGGCTTTGGGCCGTCCTCGACTGCTTTCTCAGGCCACAAGCAGGGAGCTGGATGGGAAGTAGAGCTGCCGGGCTAGAACCAGCACCCATATGGGATCCCGGCGGGTTCAAGGCGAGGACTTTAGCCACTAGGCCACACCGCTGGGCCCTTTCTTCGCTTTTTTGTTAGGTGTGCTCTTCCTAGTGCCTGCCCTTCAGCTGTTGGGTCTCCTGAACTGGTGTCTCAACTTTCTTATTTTTGTCTTGCATCTATTTTGGGAAGACACTTATTGATTTTAATTCCTTGGTTGAGTTTTTTCATTTCTACTATCAAATTTATAATTTTTAAAAGGTACCTTTTCTCTCAAAATCATTTTCATTCTTGCTTAATGATTGCAGCATCTTAGCTGAGAGCATTAGTACCATTTTGATACTTTAAAACCAAGGTTGCTCCTCACCATGTAGTCGTTTGCACCTTGTGTTTGCTTTGGCCAGTCTTGCAGTCTGGAAGCGTGCTTTGGATGTCTTTCACTGCTTGGCTGGCCATTCTTCAGAGTGGGTACCTGCGATTAGATGGCCAGTTTGCAGGTGTAACTTTCCACATCTCCACTTGGAGGGGTCTGGCCTGGCTGTATTGCTGGGGGAGCTCCCCACCAGCAGCTTCATAAGCACTAGTCTCTATGGAAGAACTATCTTGAAAGCTCTTCTCTGGAATATATAGGGTGGTTGATAGATTTCAGGTAGAAGAAGACAGCAGGAATGTCTAGTACTCAGGATGTAAATATTCGATGAATACCCATTTGTGTAAGTAGCCTGACATTCAACAATAAAGGCACTTCATGTGGGGCAGGCATATGGCAAGTTGGTTAAGGTGCAACTTGGGATTCTTGCATCCTGTATTGGAAGTCCTTGGCTCCTGCTGCCTTCTGACTCCCTGTTTCTGCTAATGTACACCCTGGGAGGCAGCAGGTGATGGCTCACATGCTTGTGTCCCTGCACATGTGTGGAAGACCTGGACTGAGTTCCTGGATTCTGGCTTTGACCTGGCTATTGTGGGCTTTTTCCAGGTAAACTGATGGATGAAAGTTCTGGGTTTTTGTCTCTATCTCCGCCTTTCAAATGAAGTAAATCCATAAAACTTTTAAAAAGGGGGTGTTTACTATAAGATAAATTCCGACTTAGTGATCCTGTTAGGGAACTACCTTTTTACCCTCTTCAGGGAAGAAGCCTCCATCTTCTTCTGGGTGTAACAGTCCGACTGCATGAGCCAGAGACGGCAGAGGTAACTGTGTGTGCTGGTGTGTGTGTATGCTTGTTTGCTTTATATTTACTTATGTGAGAGGCAGCAAGAGAAAGTTTCCATCTGCCAATTCACTCCTAAAATGCTCTCAATGGCTGGGAAATCTTAAGCTACGAGCCAGGAATTCTATCCAGATTTCCAGGTAGCAGCAGCCCAGCTGTTCAAGCACTCCTGCTGCCTCCCAGGATCCACGTTAGCAGGAAGCTGAAGATAGCAGCTCTGTCTGGAACTTGACTCCATGCCTTGAAGAACAGACATCTTAACCAATGTTTGGACTGCTAGGCAAAGCACCTGTTCCATGTTTGTTTTTGATGGGCAGCTTGGAAATAAATTATGGACATTTTGAAACTTCATTCCTGAGAATTTTCATGTGTATCTCATATGGGCAAGGACAGTTTCCACATAACCACATGTCTATGAGCACAGCTTCAGAAAGTTAGTATTACTCAGGACTATTGTTTAATGCACAGTCATTATCCAGTTGACCCTAGTCATCTCAGATGTATTGCATAGTTTTGAAATATTTGTTAGAATGTTATTCTTATAGCACAGCTAGCAAAAATGAAGTCCCTGAATAGTGAGCATGGATCAGTATACAACACATCATTGTCAAGGCATCATTGCCCGTGAATTCTTACTCCTATGGCCTTGGAGACCACTTGGGTTGGAACCAGCCAGAGCCCAAGTACCAGTTTAATGGTCCAGTGCTTCCCACTTTTTGTAGGGTGGCTCTTTATTCAATGGCTCTAATGTTTGGCTCTCATAAATTACTTTATTACTGCAGTTCTGGGAGAAATCATTCACTCCAATCTACTGTCTATTAAAAATGTCCATTTCTAGAGTTAATCTGGTCCCAGTCAAACTGTATCAACTTTTAAATTTGAAAATTGGGTATTAGGCTAAAGTGAGATTGGGCTTTATATCTGTTTAATGTCTCTGAAATTATTATTTCTTTTTACTGCAGAATGGTTAGGTTCTGCATTCAAAATAAAACTAATGTAAGAAATCCTCTCATGTTACATAAAATGATTGCTTTACTTCAGAGTTGTTTGTTCTTTTTTTTTAAAGATTTATTTTATTTTTATTGGAAAGGCGGATATACAGAAGGAGAGACAGAGACAGAGAGGAAGATCTTCCGTCCGATGATTCACTCCCCAAGTGAGCGCAACGGCTGATACTATGCCGGTCCGAAGCCAGGAGCCTCTTCCGGGTCTCCCACGTGGGTGCAGGGTCCCAAAGCTTTGGGCTGTCCTCGACTGCTTTCCCGGGCCACAGGCAGGGAGCTGGAAGGGAAGTGGGGCTGCTGGGATTAGAATTGGTGCCCATATGGGATCCCGGGTGTGCAAGGCGAGGACCTTAACCACTGCACCATCGCGCCGGGCCCTGAGTTGTTTGTTCTTTAAGTATTTATTTTTAGGTTGAAGGAAAGAATTATAGAGACAGTGAGAAGGAGAGATAGAAAGAGAGAAAGTATTCTATCCTCTGATTCACTCCCCAAATGACCACAATGGCTGAGGCTGGACCAGGCTGAGGTCAGAAGCCAGAAGCTTCATCTGGGTCTCCCACACGGGTACAGGGGCCCAAGCAGTTGGGCAGTCTTCCACTACTTTCCCAGGTGCATTAGCAGGGAGCTGGATTAGAGGTGGAGTAGCTGAGACTGGCATTGCCAGTGGTGGCTTAACCTGATGAGCCATGGCCTGGGCTTATGTAGTCAGATATGAAGAGACAGAGTTTCTGTCTGCTGGGCCACCCTCCAAGAGGCCCCAGTGACCAGGGCCAAGCCTGTCTGAACCCGGGAACTGGAAACTCTGGGACCCAACTATCCCAACCATTATTTGCTACCTGCTAGGATTCAGACCAGCAGGAATCTGGAATTGAGATTCAGAGCCTGGATCCAAATCCAGGCACTTGGAATTGAGATACAGGCATGCTAACCACAGAGCCAAACATCATTCCAGAGTTCAGTGACTTCAGTCAACTCTTCATTGACATATAGAAAAGATAAATCCTAAGAACAACAGGATACAGTCACACAAACAACAACCAGCATCCAAAACAGGAAAACTCAATCCATACTGGGGATCAGAATCACCCCAGGGTAACAGAGTAGGTTATTTGAAGCTGCTGTTTTAGTATTCTACCTGAGCTTTGCTCCAAGTATTTGACAGGCAGAAGAAAATTTCAATATATGGTAGAAAAAAAGGGGATGTAGGAACATGCAGATGCCTTGGGGAGTGGGAAGCGGTCCAGGATAAGAAAAAGTGGAGCAAGCGTGGCAAAGCCATGGTGGGTTTTGGGGTTTTGTTTTGTTTTGTTTTGTTTTTTGCCCCCTTATACTCTCTCTGAAGCAAGCAGTGACAGTTCAGCAGAAGGTCTCATACTGAGATTGACAGAGTCCCATGGGGAAAGCCCTAGCAGTGGAAATGCACACAGAACTGGCACATTTTGAAAGGTGATGTAGTGGGGAAGCATTGCTGATACTTGCTTTCTGACTTGTAAGTGTGTGTGTGTGCGTGTGCACAGGTGCCTGTTTTCCAAAGACTGGAGGAGTGACGTTCTGGGGTGGAGTGGCACTGTGGTGAGCCCACAGGAAGCAAGGCTGTCCACAGTGCTGGGAGGAGGCCTGGCCAGTGCATCTTTTCTATGTCCTGTGGATCACGTCTTCCTTGATTGGTTTTTTTACAAAGGCAGTGTTTGTGGCATCACTGAACTGAAGTGGTTTCATCAGCCAGGAACAAACCTTCACACAGCTGTCCCACACCCCAGGGATGCAGGTCACTAGTTGGTGTCCTGCAACAGCATCTGGGGATAAGGGCCTCTTGTGGAGACATATTTAGATTTTGCTTAAGTGTTTGCAACATTCTGTAAGTTCTAAATATTTTTGAGTTTGATAGGAAAGAAAGTGTTAGCAGTTCTCATCAGTTCTCATCTTCACTTCATGAAGTAGAAGAACATTTTGTAAAAACCTAGCATGAAAGACACTGCTAACTAGTTCACTGGTTTTCTTTGTTTAAAAAAAAAACAAAACCTTATTTCTACTTAAGGAGGGCGAGAGGAAGACAAAAAAAAAAGATGTTTTCATCTGCGGGTTCACTTTTCAAATACTCCCAGCAGCCAAGCCAGGAGCCAGGAATTCCACCAGAGTCTTCTCCATGAGTGGCAAAAGCCCAAGCTGTTATCTCCCAAGGCATTATTAGCAGGGATCTGAGCTGGAAGCACACGTGGAATTTGAGCTAGCGCTCTAATGTAGGATTTGGGCATCCTAAGTGAGGCTTAGCTTGCTGTGCTGCAATATCCACCCTAATAAGTTTCTTTATTTTCAAGACTTAATTTTTATTTTATTTGAAAGACAAAATCTCTCTCTCTTTCTCACATACACACACACACGGAGAGAGAGAGGGGGAGGAAGAGAGAGAGATGTTGTCCATCTTCTGGTTCCCTCCTCAAATGGCCACAACAGGGATAGGCTAAATCCAAGATCCCAGAAATCCATCTATGTCTCCTACATGGTGGCAGGAACCGAAGCACTTAGATCATCTTTCAGTACTTTTCCAGGCACATTAGCAGGGAGTTGGATCAGAAGTGGAGCAACTGGGATTCAGATTGGCACCAATATGGGATACTCACATTTTAGATGGCAGCTTTAACATGCTGAACTTCAATGCCAGCCCCTAAATAGCTCATTTTATCAAGAAACACTTATGGGGCTCTATCTCACCTTCCATAAAGAGCTTAAAAGAGTTGCTGTCTTTAGTGGGGGGGAAAAATCAGTTTTGGACACCATCCTCTCAAGTCCTGGAGCATTTTCACAGCTCAGGCATCTGTGGAAGGGGCGTTCACTCTGTGTTGTTGTTGGGTATGCTTTTCCGTCTCTGCTTTGGTCTTAAGGCACCTACAAGGGACAGATGTTTTGAGATAAGGAAATCTTCCATCCATCTTCAATATCAGCATTGTCCTCATGGAGTTCATGTTTGAGGATTGAACATAAAGCACTTGTTCTCCTGAGTTATACACTGGATGGTCCTGTTCCCGTTCGCTTCAAGGCAACAAATTGGCAACAAATGGGGAAGCCTAAGATGGTGAAATAACTGCTTAGTCCGCAGGTGGAGTGCAACCTCCACAACGTGTGGAGAGTCAAATGAGTGTTATCTCCACCAATCCCTGTGCCAGGAAGAGCCAAATGAGTGTTATCTCCGCCAGTCTCTGTGCCAGGAAGGTCACGTCAAAGGCCAGGCCCTTGACCTTGGGTGAATTAGCACAGGGCAGCTTGCATAGGAGATAGAGCATCTTTGGAACCTCCCCAGCCAGAATCATATTAATGTCAACATCTCTGTAAAAAGAAAACTGCTCTCCCAGAGTCGTAGCTGGGCTAGTTCAGAAAAGCAAACAGTTGGCCCAAGTTCATATGCATTGCAAGTAGATTATATCCCAAGTCTGTTTGATCCCAGAGAGATTTTTTTCTTCTATCTTATGTGGATTAATTTATTCACCTTTATAAAAACTAGAAAAATTTGATTTTAAAGTCATAAAATCAACTGTGTTGGACAAATCAATTCTGGATGCTGGTGAACCGGAGGAAACAAATATGCTTTGAGGAATGTCATCCACAACTTTTTGGCAGGGGAACTAAAAATGTAGACGTATGTGTGTTCTCTGTGTGCGAGAGCAAATGTTTGGGATAACATGTCATACGTGATATTTGACCTCACCCATTTTTCCAGATTACCTCACTTAAATTTCACATGGGATCCTTTTTAATTTTTTCCCTTTAATTGTTGATTAACTTACTAGATAGTGAGTCATTCATTCCACATGTTGTAGAGGTGACTGCAGTGTGATCCTGTCTGTGGTTGGCCAGCTGGAAGCACCTGCTGCCAGCAGGCTGTTCCCTGTGCTGACGGAGAGAGGGGAGGGGATGACCAGCAGGTGGCATGGGCTCAAGGCCACTGTCCTCTGGAGGTTAGACTGGAGGGAGCCCTCAGCACAGAGCCTGCTACTGGTGTTGCTTCTTAAAGGTCTTCAAGGAACCAGAATTTTGCCAGTTATATTCCTTTTTTTTAAAAGGATGTCAATCTATACTACCTGAAATATAAGAAATAAAAATTTTTATATTGCAATTCCAAGACAACCTCTTTGATGTTTATATTTTGTTACTTCTTATCCTGGAGTAGTTTAAAAATATTATTGCCAAAACCCACAAAATCTCAATTTCCTAGTATGTGGAGCTGGTAATTATGCCTCTGTTTAATTCTTGGTATATAGAAGGATAATGTTTTCTGGCTGAATGGAGCATAAACATTTATCAAATGTGTTTACTGCCCTCTACCTCATTTGACCATCTCTTACTCAGGTAATATTTGCTTACCAGCATGGGTGGCCTGTTTTCTCCAAACATGCTAATAAGCATGATGGCAGAGTGGTTAAATGGTTAAATTCAATTGACAGACACAATTAAATGGAAATGAACAATGGTATCCATGTGTGTGTGCAGCGGGGAGGGGGCTGACTGAAGCGAGCTTTGCCTGGAGGGACAGCTCTGGGAAAGTGAGTCTTTTACACGAAGCACAGAAATGCCTGCCAATCACCTCCCAACATCTCTTTCCAGAAGCCAAAAGCCCCGACACCTCCCAGCGTGGAGCTGGACCACTGCCTGTCCTTACCTCGACCCCCGGTGGACCCTGCCAAGATGAGAAGGATCAGCAGCGCCCGGGCACGCTTGTTCCGGGCAGCTTCCCAGGGCCCTCCACTGCCTGCCGAGAGTAAGGTCCCTGAACATCCTTGAGGCCCTGGTTGGGGGGAGCACCTTGGATTGGAGAACAGCAGCTATATTTCTGTGATTTGCTTCCTGACTCTGAATGACTGTGACATAGACTGAGACAGAGTTAATATTGAGCAAAAGGTGGTTAAGGAGCATTGTACGTGTACCTCTCTGGGTGTTTATAAAGAATATCAAAGTATCCCAGTTTCTTAAAAGTATTGCCCAACAGGAAAAGAGTATTTGCAGAAGGGTTTCCTATGGATGGTTTTCCTGGGTAGGAAAGAAGTGATTTTTTTTTTAAAAAAATTAGAATTCAGAAAGTTAATTTCCATTAAAAATTCATGAGGATGGAGACTTGTACAGCATGCACTCACCTTATGTCTCTGAAAATGCTTTTCTGCTCCTGTGTGAATATGAAAATGGAGCTGCCTGGGACTCTGCCTAGTGCCAAATGTGCTGGCAGGTGTCTGACCTGGGACTGTTCCTAGGGATGCTGTCAGCAGTTGGACTGCCCCCAATCCAGGACATCCTAAGGGTTTTTCAGACTGTCTGCAAAACACCTGGCTGTCAGATGACAACTTAGTGCATCATACCAATATAGTTTTTGTTTTCATTTTTGTTGTTGTTTGTAAAGACATTAAATAGACTAGGAATAATGGAAGACAGGAGAGTGTGCTGTGAAACATATCGGAAAAATATGACTGAGTCACTCCAGTCTTCAATATATATGTTCAGGGTCTTGTCCTAACTTGATGATTGTTTTTAAAGTATGTGTTCAAAACCATTGGGAAACGATGTCCCCAGGAGCAGACAGAACAGGCTGTATCTCTCCTAACAAGGATGGTACAGAGGGATGAGTATATAGTGACAGAAAAGCAAGAGTCAGAAGACGATTTCCTGGCCATCAGACTTGGTTGACATGTGAACATTTCCTTTTCATTAGTCACCAACATTTGCAAAGTTGAAGAATTCAGATTTATGACTTTTTATGGAGAATCAAGAAGTCTAGCAACCCCCATTCCATGCAGCCTCCGTGGGAGTGATTGAGTGGTCCTTCTGCATCCGGGACCCACCTTCCCCTGCCATAGTGTTGTCGGGGGGGGGGAGTTCCACATGTAGCTCATCATGTCTTCGTAGCCCAATTGATCCCAGTTTGCCTATCTGGTGCCTGATAAAGGGGAAGGGTAGGGCCCAGGAACAAGAATAGCGCAGGTCATGTGCCTCCTGCCATGACGTGGCAACCAAGTGTGTCATTAAGTGGCTTAGTCACTCTGGTGTTCAATGAACCTCTAGTAAGCGTTGGACTCCCTTCTAAGTCCTGAGTGCTTGCCATGTAGAGCGGGGAGAGAGAGACAGGAGTAGCGCAAATATCTAAGACAACTCAGGTCCTAAAGACAGTGGGATAGAGCCCCTGTGGCAGCAGTTATTCCATTATAGGACAGCTGGCTCTGGAAGGTATCTTGCAATGGGACCCAGAAGAAGGAGGCAGCCACATAATGGAGTCTGTGGACCACACGCCCACACTGGGAGGGGAACAGGTGCCAAGATTTCAGACAGGGCTGCAGAAGCCGGGGGCTTTGTGCAAGGGCCAGTGCCGGATTTAAGTAAGACGCACCACAATAGCTGTGTTGTTCTTTCATAGTCATGCTCAATTATAGCTGTACCAGGGTCATCTCCAAAGAACTTTCCAGAAATTTTGCCCACATGCGTATCAGATTGGTGAGATAAGAAAGGCTCAGCAGTTGCAAGAGCATGGAGCCTGCTGTGATGGGAAAGAACATGATCCTGGAGCCCACGGTCCCTCTGCCAAGCCAGCATGAGGGCTGCCCACCCTGTGGTTCATGATCTATTCTTGTTTATAAGCTTGGAGGCCAGACACATGTTGCATGCCCTGAGCTGGTGCTGCTCACATGTGGAAACCTTGTACAAGTGGACATTTGCCTGTCCCCCTTACAATCAGAGCTGCCTGGCCTGGTGTTTGTGCCCATCTGTTACACCCCAACACATCTCCTCTCCACCCTGCCTTCCCCTCCACTGTGAAGCCCATGTCAGTGGTTCGCAGGAAACAATGATAGCCAAGGCCACTGTCATTGCAGAAGCACACACACCCCTGGGTTGCCCCATGTAAAGAAACATTTGTGCTCTCCTGCTTTGGAACTCCCTCATGGGGTAGCTCCCTGGATCTGATGGCCGCAGTCTCTCTGCCATTTAGAAAGGGTGGCTTCTGTTGGGTAACTGCCACCATCAGGACACCCTGCTGCACACCCCTCTCCTGCCACACCCTAGCCTTAGCCCCCCATCCCTTGCCTCCGTGGATGGTTGTTATCAATAGTTGGGGTAGGGACTGTGGTCGGAAGGTTTGGCTTCCCTGGTTTAAGAAAATGAAAGGGGAGGAGTCATCTCCACAGATCCCACCCATCACTGTGTTCAGATAGGAGTTAGGGATGGAAGTGGAGCTGCTGTTGCTGGCACCATCCCTCCCCCTTACTGGAGCCAGACAGTCACCTCCAGTCCTCTCCTCCACTCCCCTATCACCCAATGCTCCCCTGCTTGCCAGTCAAGCGCCCTGTCTGCGAGCCCTTGGCTGTCACCTTCTTTACCATTGCTTCCCCTCTTGCTTTGTCCTTGTCCTGCGCTTGGCTCACTAGGCTCCAGCCCAGCAGAGCCTGGGGAAGCTGAGCCCCCCAGCCCGTGACCCCTGTCTCCCAGTGGACTGTGGCAAGTGATCACTGTCTCTGTCATTCATAAAGTTGTCAGGAAGCATGTACATCAGATTGTGTCACCCCTCATGGAAGCCCTTAAACAGCCCCTTGCCAGGCTGTGCCATTGGGAGTCCCAGGAGCTTCCAGGGGACCACTCCTACCAAATGTTCATTGCTTTTCTTTGGAAAGCGGGCAGGTATCCCAGTAAACCGGGAATACCCCTTCCCGCAGCCTCTGGGCAGGGTGCACATGGGCAGTGCCTAGGAGCATGTTAAAAGGTTGGGGCAGCCGGGCCCGGCGCGGTGGCGCAAGTGGTTAAGGTCCTCTCCTTGCACGCCCGGGATCCCATATGGGCGCCGGTTCTATCCCAGCAGCCCCGCTTCCCTTCCAGCTCCCTGCCTGTGGCCCAGGAAGGCAGTCGAGGATGGCCTAAAGCTTTGGGACCCTGTACCCGCGTGGGAGACCCGGAAGAGGCTCCTGGCTTCGGATCGGCATAGCATCGGCCATTGCGCTCACTTGGGGAGTGAATCATCGGACGGAAGATCTTCCTCTCTGTCTCTCCTCTGTGTATATCCGCCTTTCCAATAAAAAAATAATAATAATAAAAATAAATCTTTAAAAAAAGAAAAGGTTGGGGCAGCCGTTCAGAAAAGAAGCCTGTTCTAACTCTCACCATTCACGCAGTGGTCTGATGGGCCCGGGACAGGGTAGGACATGGGGCTCTTATCGCAAGTCTCACCTGCCTGGCCATGTAGAACGCTTGTGCATGAAGCCAACCTTGACTCCTCACTTCTGTTCCTTATTTTTTTGTTGTTGCTTTATTGTTTCATTTATTTAGTTTTTCATAGTTCCTTAGGCTCAGAAATTTCCCCTTTCGCTCTTCCCCTCCCCCTCCACTGTTTTTCCTGTAATATAAGGACAGTGTAGCTCTTTAGCAACAGTTACAAGTCTGCCCTTCTTTAAGTGTATCATGACATTGTAGGCATAGACAATGGTAGAATTTCCAGCATCCAATTGTCAAGATGTGTTTAACAGTTTCACTGGTAGTGCATCTTTTATTCAGAAGCAAAGATTCACGCAGCAATGTATCTCTACTTCACAGTATAGTTGTATCCATTGTATAGTTCCTCTAGATAAATATATGTAAATACATATATATGTTTACTTATATATCTATTGATCTTGTATTTTGCATGAAGGTTGCCTATGTTTGTCCTTTTGTGGTTGTCTTATTTCACTGAGCATAATGTTCTGTGGTTGGGACCATTTCGTTGTAGGTAGTTGAATTTTGTTCTTTTAAATGGCCAAGTAGTATTCCATGGAGTCCTTCTTATTTGAAGTGTTTGTCCCCTGGGAATCCTCCCAGATGCTTGTCAGGCTCTGCCTCTGTGAGGTTTTCTTCCTCCTCTCCCTCACCCCCCAGACTTCTCTACCATCTGTGCTTCTTCCAGACCCAGTGGGGACCACACCTTAATCCCCTACACGTCTGCCTCTCTGTCCCCAGCTTGGCCGAGCAACTGCAGTGGACATGGTGGTTTTCTGTGTTTGTAACTCAGGAATTGAGCACAAATGTGGTATACAGCAGGTGCCAAAGGAATGTCTGAAATGGAGTCATTCCTTTACTGTTTCCTTTTGAGGTTTATCCATTGTCCCCTACAAAATGATGTGCTGCCAGGGTCTGCTCTGAGGCCCAGAGTGTCACTCCCAGGGCTGGGTACCCATAGGGAGGAAGAGAGCCCCAGGGCAGCTCCTCCCCATAGCTTAAAGCCACCAGCCCACCCAGTGGTTTGTACAGACTGAGAGCACAGTTCTCTTGTTCACCACAGGACCACCCATACGTGCAGCAGCACCTGGTGTGTGGTGGTGCCTGCTAAATACTTCTGGAACAAATGGCAGAGAGAATGCTGAAACACAATGGGCTAAACACTGCTCTGTCCCTTAGTAGGGAAGTGAGCCAAGGGAGAAAGCCCCAGGCCAGAAGGTGAGGACTCTTGGGGGTTCTCTCTCTCCCTTTCTCTTTCTTCATCCCCCTCTGCCCTCCTCCTTCCTCCTTCTCCCTTCCTCTCCCTCCTTTCCTCCCTTCTCTCTCTCTCCCTCCCTCCCCTTCCTCTTCCTGCCTCCCTCTATCCCGGCCCTCCCTTCCTTCCTTCCTTCCTTCTTTCCTTCCTTCCTTCCTTCCAAGTGCCCTAGCACTTGAGTCATCCTTTGTTGTTTTCCCAGACATATTAGCAGAGACCTGCATCGGAAGTGGAGTAGCTGAGACTTGATCCTGTGCCCATATGGGATGCCAGTGCTGCAGGTGGAAGCTTAGAGTACTACACCATGGCGCTATCCCCCTAGGGTTTCAATAACCATGATGACAATACCTTCTAGGTTTTGGATGTGCTAGCATCATGTAAGTCAGTGCTAGGCCACATCTTTTCGTTCTTACCGTGTCCCTCAAAGAAGCAGGGACCACTAAAAAAAATGTTGAGAGAAAAGCTGAGCAATCTCTTCCCTCCCATCACATTGAGCCGGAACTCTAGAAGTCTGCACTTGAACCTGAGTCTGATGGGATCCAAGCTCTGCTCTTCCCCCTCCTAACAAGCCTTACTTAATTCCTGTGGCTTTAGGTCCTGAACCTTTGCTCACCTGAGACATGAAGGTTGGACCAGCTGGCCACCACAGGTTCCTTTCAGCTGCAACATTCAGTGTTTTGGGAAAAGGGTGCTCAGTGAAAAGGGTAGAATAGGTGGTTTGGCAGTGGTTTGTAAAGTTTCCAAATAAGCACGGAAGAGGAAGCCTTGAGTCATTTGGGAAAACCTGTTCAACTGTACTTGTCTGTAGGAAGTTCATTTCTCCCTGACCCCTGGCTGGACCATGGGAAGTGTACTTCGACTAAACCTTTTTTAACGCAGACTGAAGGCCGGCAGCAGAATGGATGATAAGTGACTTCTGACGTCAGTGTGCTGAAGTGAGTGCCATTTTTATCAGCCTAGAAATCTGCATTTCTAAACAAGGCACATGTTTTCATTTAGAGGCAAGGCATCTTCTTGCTTTTCCATCATGTTCCTCTTTGGAAAGCCTTGTTGACCTTTCAGTGCCTTCCACTTTCCATTGCCTGGTGGGCGTGGTCTGCCAGGACTCCTCCCTCTGCCCCTGCTCCTCTGGTGGTCTTACATACTCACTTCTTGTTATCCTTCAAGTACCTCTAGCCCACTCCTGCTGGCTGGCCTCTCTGCTCCAACAGGTGCCCGGTTCTTCCTTCCACCATGCCCGCCCCTGTTTTGAGTTGCTCCTGCCCGCACCCTCATCCCCCTCCTCTTTTCCCTATAGACCTATTACATCAGCTACCTGCTTTATTGTGGTGTGTTGCGTGTGAGCTGGTATGCCCTGCAGATCTGGGCGTCCCTCCCGTGGGATGGGAGCCCCATGTAGTCATTGAGCTCTGTTTTGCCACAGATGCTCCCCAGGTGCCTGACGTCAAAGAGGCCCTACTCAATAGTTTTTTTTTGAATAATTAGTAACATGGTAAAGTTCAGGAGGAAGGGTTATTATGGGACACAGAAGTATTTCATGTGAACTGGGTAGCTTATTTAACCAAAATTCAAGTTTTTTGTTTTTTTTGTTTTTTTTTTTTAATTTCGGGTAGACTCTAAGATACTATAATATCCTATTTATTTTTTTAATTGTTTATTTTTTATTGGAAAGTCAGGATTACAGAGAGAGAAATATAGAGATCTTCCATTCCCTGGTTTACTCCCTAAGTGCCTGCAACGGCCAGAGCTGAGCCAATCCAAAGCCAGGAGCCAGGAGCCTCTTCTGGGTCTCCCATGCAGGTTCAGGGTCCAAGGCTGTGGGCCATCCTCGACTGCTTTCCCAGGCCAAAAGCAGGGAGCTGAAAGGCAAATGGAGTAGCCAGGATATGATGCAATGCCTGTATGGGATCCCAGCACATGCAAGGTGAGGATTTTAGCCTCTAGGCTACTGCGCCAGGCCCAATCCTTTTCAATTTTAGCTGAGAGTTGGTGGTGCCAGGGCAGACACAAAAATGAGATCTTTTATGTTTAGAAACGTTTCGAGTTATTCCAGTCTCAATTATAGGCACTGTAGAATATAATCTTTTTTTTCTAAAAATGTGTTAGAGAATTATGGTGATGGAATAGGGTAAGGACATGTCTAAACAGAAAAACATTAGCCAATGTGAAGCAGAGAGGGCACATTCCAGGAAATAGGAGAGGACAAAATGACAACAGAGGGGTACCTGAGGACTGACAGACATGGGAAAGCAGCAGACACAACGGTGTGTTGTTGTAGTGACCGATGCCCCAGAGGCATTCAGTGAGCGGCGATCTAAATTGCATGGGCAGCCGAAACTCCACCAGCTACAATGTGGGAAGGGGCGTTCACCGGGAGATCAGGAGGTGAACCCAGACAAAGAACTGCCCATCCTGCTGGTCTGTTTGATTTGACCGGGAACAGAGACAGTGTGATAGGTCCCAGACAGGCAGTGCGGGAACAGGGTGGATTGCACAGCCCAGTCCATCCCCTAGAGCAGAATCGGGTGCTATTTTGTCTAGAGAGACAAAGGCTATGGGACAGGACTGAGCATGCACTAAGCTGGGAGTGAACTCATTTCTGGCTCAGAGGACTGCAACAACCTGGCGTGCTACAGGTTCCTCCCGAGACCGTTGTCCATGCCCGCAATGATGGACATATGACTGTTTATGAAGAATTATAATATAGGGGAACTCGGAGGGAGGATTTGTGGAAGGGATGAGAGAAATCCCAGGGCCTATGGAACTATATCATAAAATGATAATAATAAAAAGCAAAAAATAAAATAAAAGGCAAAAAAGAGAAAAAAAAGTGTTAAAAGGTAGTGATTCCCAAAATGAAGAGTGCCTTTACAAAATTCTTCCCCTTCTTTGTCCTTACAGCCCAGAAGATGGTGGAGTCCCAAGAAACAGGTAGGATGGGTGACTCTGTGATGGCAGTAAATGGAATTCATGTGGCAAAATCCAAGACCCTTGGCCATGTAAAGAGAAACCACCCACTTCAGCTAACTTACGATGGAGGCATCAGGGAAACCAAGGAGCAAGACACCTTGCAAGGAACCACATCCTCACCATCCCATCTCCAGAGCAGAGGGTCAGTGTCCCAGTTACTTAAGCTTTTTGCCAAGATAATCCTACCCTTTGTTCTTTATCCTTTATGAATGATCAATTTACTCGGTTCCCTCTAATGTGAGACAAAGTGAATGAGTGAGTAAGGGAGATTGCTTCTCATGACTGAATGGAATTGACCCGATAGCATCTCCAGCTTAATTCAGGAAGCTGTTTATTCATAACTACCAGCATGCCGATCCAAGAGAACTGTCAGGAAGACTTTGCTGGACTGTGTCAGGCAGCCACAAGGATGACGGATGGTTCCTGTCTGTGCTTCCCTCGGGATTCATGCCTGGCCGGCAGTCTCCTGTCGGGTTAAGTTGACTCTTGGTAACTCCACAAAAGCGAGCCTTGATTTTCTTCTTTGGTGGAAATTCAGAGTTCAGTATTGATTGTGTTAACTAGGAATTACAATAGGAGGCTTCTTGGAGTCCAGGTCTCTGAGCTAATCCCTCTAATAACTGCTCACGGCATGTTCTCAGATAGGACTTCCTTAGGAAGCCGTTTTCCTACCATACCAAGGATTCCTGGACAGACATTCACAACCCTGCAGACTGCACACATTCTTAGCCTGATGTTGCACTGAAAAAGTCTCCAATGATGGGAGCCTGGGGTAGGTAAGGGGTGGGAGTAAAGGAAGCAAGCTCCGTTCTCCAGTCCCAGTCAACAGCAGTGCCCTGGGAAGAAAGGCTGCACAGGATCACTCAGTTAAATTTTTTTTTTCTAGAATTTTCCATTGGGTCATATCATGGACAGTTGCCCAGTTAGACTTTGCTCAACAAGACTCAGTGCCATGGGCCATTTTAAGATCAAGTCCTTGTTGCCATCGCTTTACATTCTGGATCTTACATTGCCTTGTATACTTGGAGCCGGCATTAAACTTTTCCCCGAATCGGCCACTTGGCTTGGCAGCTTGTTTAGCTGAGCTGACCTCTCCTGCTGACACGGGCTCAGGAGTTGTTACACACTCGGAATTTGTATTAGGCAACCCAACAGTCCCTGTAATGTCATATTGCGTTCAGAACATTTTTTAAAGTAAAGGTTAAAAAAGAGAAAGAAAAAAAAAAAAAAGAAATGTCTCCTTCGGTGGAAGAAAGCAACTTTAAACTGGGGTTTAGGTGAGGGGGAGTTGAGCACAACACATCAAAAATGGCGCAGGTTTTTTCCAGTGGGCGAATGAGAATGAGCTCTGATCCCTCAGCATGCCCAGCAGGTACGGCAGCCAGGCAGCTGTGTATCCATCAGAACTGAAGGAAGAAGGAAGCATTTATCTTGTGGCACCCATCCTTATGGGAATGTAAGCTGGCCAGAAAAACCCAAACAGAGCTACTTCCCCGGGTTTGTTTATTTTTGCAAAACCTGCAGCTGCTACAGAGTAGTCTGGTAAGCCAGGGCTCCTTATGTCCACCTCGTTCTGAGACAACAAGCCTGCACAGCCAAGGGCGGATCAGTTAGGGCCTGGATGCCCTGCTTCCCCACTGTCCCAGTCAGGCCCTGGCTGTTTCCTTTGGATTCACCTTAGGAAAGCTGTGTGTCGTCCAATGACGACTGTGTCCGAGCAGCGTTCACGGTCCACCCCAGCCAGTCTGACTTCCACTAACATTTTTGCACCGTGAATCGTTTAACCTCCTTTAATCATGGGGTGGAATGTTGTTGAAAGTGGTGCCAAAAGTCAAGTTTATACAGTAGGATTGAAAGCAAACCAGAAAATGGAAACTCTGAGCAAGCCTTTCATTAATTGCATTCATGAATCGGTCTGGGACGCTCAGTAATTGTTTCTTGTAAACATTTCAGCGGATAATTCCAAGAAGTGAGCTGTGCTGTTCAGCGGCGGCTTCCCAGTTTTGATGCCAGAGCCCTACCCTCAATTAACATTTGTTGGCCTTTAGATCATAAAGTGGGAGATGAAGACTTGTCCGCGAGCTGGGCAGGGAGGAAGAGGAGGGGGCAAAGGGGACAGAAGAGGGAAGGACAGCTCCTAGCCTGGGCTGCTGGAACAGCCACCTCTGTGTTGAGTGTTTCTCTGGAAGGGGAGAGGAACGCAGCAGTATGATGTATCAGTTGGGAGTGCCCTCATGCTTATGCCCTTAATTTAAACCCTGGGTAGTTCAGAGATGGGATGGCCGAGAGCTTTGATTTTGTGCTCCTTATGGTGGGATTGCTAAACAGGCGTTCCCTGCAGAAAGCTATTGGGGGCCATTTCACCTTCCTGCAGAGCAATGTACCCTCAAGCACTTACACAACTGTCCCCATTACTGTGTTCACCACGTGCTCGTTACTACAGTGGCTGTGTGTCCCTTTGGGGAATCTGAATTTGCCAGGCCTGCTCCTTGAGCCTTACACTTTACATTGTCAAGTACATCAGATGGAGGAAAGCTGCTATTGACCAGCCAGAGGGCCCATCTGGTCAACCCCTCAAGACTTTCTACATAGATGTTACTCACCCGGTCTTGGGGTCTAGATGTGGGAGTTGGGGGTTGGAAAGCCAACCAGTCCACTGTGGAGAGTCAGGAGCTCTTTGAGGAACCTAAATCTCTGGGCTTAGCTTTGAATCTCTCCCAGTCACTCAATTTCTCTTTGACAAGTCTTGTTAGTACTTCCAGGAACTTGATCTACCTTTTTTTTTTTGTTGTTGTTAAGATTTATTGGAAAGGAAGATACACAGAAAGGAGGAGAAACAGAGGGGAAGATCTTCCATCCACTGAGTTACTCCCCAAGTGGCTGCAACGGCCAGAGCTGAGCTGATCTGAAGAGCCTGAAGCCTCCTCCAGGTCTCCGAAGGCTCTGGGCCATCCTCAACTGCTTTCCCAGGCCACAAGCAGGGAGCTGGATGAGAAGTGGGGCTGCCACGATTAGAACTGGTGCCCATATGGGATCTTGGCACCTGCAAGGCAAGGACTTTAGCAGCTAGGCTACCATGGCAGGCCCTCAATCTTCTTATCTATATAATGGCCATGCCTGTGCCCCTCTACTCCCAGCTGTCCTTAGCCTTCACTGCAATTTTCAAGTGTGGGGATGACCTCCAATCCTTGAAAGTTGTATTTGTAAACCTATAAGTGCTGTTAATGTTGTTGGCATTAAAGTTTTAAAAGAGAGCTCCTGGTTAAAGGTGGCAAAGTAGAGAGAGTCTGTAAGAAACCCACAGAAAATAGCCAGGATGGAAACCAGGAAGAAGGGGGCTGATGCTGAGCCATAGGGATAAAGGCACTGCCTGTGGTTTTGGTTTGTACGGTGGACACCGGTTCAAGTCCTGGAAGCTCCACTTCTGATCCAGCGTCCTGCTCATGCACCTGGGACTTAAGTGTTACTGAATCCACGTTAGAGACCTGGAAGAAGCTCCTGGCTGCAGATCAACCCAGTTCTGGCTTTTGTAACCATTTGTGGAGTGAACCAATGGATAGAAAATATCTCTCTCTGTCTTTGTCTCCCTTCTTCCCCCCCTTCTCTCTGTAACTCTGCCTTTCAAGTATATAAATCTTTTTTAAAAAGTCATAAAGGAGCAGAGAAAATGACTCCAACCCCAAGTACAAAAGAAAACTTTTTTTAGATTATTTATTTTTATTGGAAAGTCAGATATACAGAGAAAAGGAGAAACAGAGAAAGATCTTCCATCCCATGGTTCACTCCCCAAGTGGCCGCAACAGTTGTTCCAAAGCCAGGAGGCAGAAGCTTCTTCTGGGTCTCCTACGTGGGTGCAGCGACCCTGGACTTTGGGCTGTCCTCTATTGTCTTTGCCCAGGCCATAAATAGGGAGCTGGAAGAGAAGCCAGGACATGAACCAGGGGCTATATGGGATCCCAGAGGATGCAAGGTGAGAATTTAGCCAGTAGGCTATCATGCCAGGCCCCCATAATGCAAATTTTAAAACACAGTTTCTATTTACAAAAATACTTGAAAGAATAACAGGGGCATCAAATCTTGATTCACTTCCCCAAATGCCTTCCAAAAGTCAGGAGTCCAAAACTCCATCTGGCTCTCACGGGGTGGCAGGACACAAGCACCTGAATCATTATCTTCCCATCCCACTCCTAGGTGCAGTTGTAGGATGTTGGATCAGAAGTAAAAGAGGAGCCCAGTATGGTAGCCTAGTGGCTAAAGTCCTTGCTTTGAATGCACTGGGATCCCAAATGGGTGTCAGTTTTAATCCCAGCAGCCCCGCTTTCCATCCAACTCCCTGCTTGTGGCCTAGGAAAGCAGTTGAAGATGGCCCAAAGCCTTGGGACCCTGCACCCATGTGAGAGACCCAGAAGAGCTTCTGTCTCCTGGCTTTGGATTGGCTCAGCTCTGGCCAATTTCCGGTCACTTGGGGAGTGAATCATCGGACAGAAGATCTTCCTCCCTGTCTCTCCTCCTCTCTCTATATATCTAATTTTGCAATAAAAATAAGTAAATCTTAACAACAACAACAAAAAAAACAAGCAGTGGAAGAGCCAGGCTGAAAGCAGCAGTCTGATGTAGTATATGGTAATCCTAAGAGACAGCTTAACCTGCTATGCCATAACACCTACTGTAACTGTAACTTCAATAAACTTATATGTAAATGTAGGCTTGGTATTGTTGTCTGCCTGGCAAGCTTTCCTCGGAGAATTGGACCTCTTGTGTTGTATAATAAGCCTTACTTTATCTGTGGTTGCCACAGGTCACATGACCTTCCTCCCGAGGCCTGCTCAGGTGCATCTGGACTGGCTGAACAGAGATCTCTAGACTCCAGTTATAGCAGTTGGTTCAGAGCAGTGGACACACACGCCATCCAGGGCAGGCAGGTAGAATTCCTCACTGCAACTTTTGCCGAGGCGTTTGGGAAAAGTTCTGGTTTCCCAAGACCCCAAGCTAGAGAAATGATGGAATGTTGGAGGACCACTGCATTGTGGAGAGAGACTCTGAGAGGGAAGTACATAGAAACACAGAACCAAGGAATGGAGGTCCTACTCACCAGGTTCCAGGATGAGAAAGCAGCCCCGAGATCCACCAGTGCCTGAAGCC